ATCGGATATTTTTATTCTCGTGAAATCATATAGATACACGTAATATGATTGGAATATATAACACTTCATTTGTGCTAATAATACTCAGAATTCATGCTTTATCGGTAACGTCGGGTATTGACACTAAAATGGTAACAGGGCTACGTAGCCCTATGAACGTGGGACAGAAAAAAGCATTGGAAGATAGGTCTATTCTATACCTAGTCGGTGGTATTACGTCTATGGTAAGCGCTCGTTTATTGCAGTTTTCAGGAATGTAGAGGGCCCATATTCCAGGAAGATTATAATAAACGAGCCTCAATCACCCGCACTCTCTCCGCCAAGCGACCGACTGTTGCGTGACGCACCTATACAGGGTGTTTCGTTTAACTGGAAACGGTGGAATATCTCACGAAGGATTAAAGTTATCAAAAAAATGTTCATACAAAAGTTGTTTGGTACAAAGGGTGACATTACGTGGTATAAATAATTTTTCTATAAGTGTAGTAGTGGGGGAGATATCAAAGTCAAGTTAATTTTTTTAAATGGAACCCTGTATGTTTTTTATGCATATTATGATAGTGTTTGTTGAGACGAATACAACGAATTGCCACATGATATCATTCCCTGTAGTAGGAAGTGATAAATTAGTAAGATTTTAAGAAGTCAGTTCAACGCAAATCGCCTAGTTGAACCCTACATCACTTTTGGTCCTCTCTATTATCCGACGCCGACTAACAGGTTGGTTTTTTTTTTATCCCCACTATAACTTGGTGAGTCCTCCCTCTCTTATCCGAACTCGATTAATAAGTTCTAATCTCCTTTTTTTAGCATCACCGACCATTGGCGCTCATTGGTGGTTAGTGGCCAGGGGGTTTTACAGGATCACCCATGAATACAAATTTAAACTTTTACACCTTTCAGTGTACTTTCTTAAAAATATTGTGAATAAATGTAGGAGATTCTCCTGATGGAAATAAGTCCAAACCCGACATAAATAGGACTATATTTAATAACAATACATTCGTATCGCGACATTAAGGGAAAGGTGGGATAATTGGTCACAGTTTTGCCTTTTCGTTGAAGTAAAAATAATTGTTTATTTTATTTATATCTCATCATTTGCATAAAGATTCTTAGTATTGTTGCAGTGTGTTATGTTTGTTACGATATATTGGTGTACAATCTTACTGTATGTGCTTTACCATGTTTAATTATAATTAATTTTATTAAGAAATTCGCATTTGTTATCATTGTTTAGGGGTCTTAATTTTTTCCACCTAGAATTTTCAATCGAAAAATTGGAGAAAATTTTTTAATAGGTGCCCCGGTATTTGCAACGTGTGCATTGTTTTTCAAAATGTTTGCGTGCCTCTGAATAGGGAAAGCAGCGAAAAACAATTTTTATTCATACGTTATATTGCAATACGAATTGTATTTGGCTTGGAAGTTTCGGAGCAGATATAAAGTGGTAGAATCCCCTTCTAGGGGTGCGTAAGTCATGAATACTGTGCCCCAATGCAATTTATGGTTGTGTTAGTAAATACACAAAGCTATATGAAACCGTAATACCAAAAATAACTATATATAAAAAATTTGCATTGATTCGGTTGTAAACCTGACTTCAAACTTTAAACGTGTTTTTCTCAAAACCACATTTTTTAAATCGGTGACCAAAATATCTCGAGAATCGTTGCACCGAACTGATTCAGCTGTGGTGAACTCATTCTATAGATAGTATGCATAAAAATCTAGTGCCTGATCGTGGCTTTTTGTATTTCATTGCGTAGTTTTTATTTTATAGATCAAAAATGAACGATTTTTTTGGCGAAAATCGATACTTCGACTTTGAACAGCCGCCTTTTTTATCGTAAATTAATGTTTCAGGATAATGAACGATCAGGCATTAGATAAATTAATATATCAACAAAATTTGCTCGGATTTTTTATTTCAGATAAAGGAACTCGAAGTTACAGTGGTCACCGCAAAACGCCTAAAATAAAAACGTCGCCGGGAGATCGCTGATATTTCCCCTATTTATTTATATTTTGCATTGAAGAAATTACTATAAGCACTTTAAAATGTACACTTTCGAATACAATGACGTATGTTTCAAAAAGTCTTCAAGTCTTTTAAAAATAAATTCCGAAAGTACATGTCTTTTTTCGAGTTCGTAGGTAGACATAACCTCTTAACAGTGGCTCCCAAAAATAGCGAAAAAGTCACGCCTCTATCAGGAACGAACTTCACCTTTTGAACATGTTTCATCCAATTCATCCTTGGTTGTTAGTTTTCATTCGAATCTTATAACAGTACAACTTGGTATCTTGAAACAACGTAGAATACTTTGGTTATTGACATAAGGATTAAATTTTTGGAGGCATAGTGTGAGTGCAGATTGATTTGTAGCGTTTGGGAAACTTATTAATGGCTATTTTTATTTTTCATTATCATCCATTATTTATGTTTATTTATTTTTATTACTTGTCATCATCGAACTGCAACTCCCAGTACATGTTGTCTTGAAAGAGCTAGGTGAAAAGTTTGCGATACGTAACCATGGAGAGCAAACGTGTTCCACGTCAGATGATTAAAACCAGTGTTCTGAATTTGTATAATAGGATCAACGTCCAGATGACAACCGCCAAACAACGAAGGCCATACTCGTGTCTGCGATAATGCTATTTGTAGCCATCGTATAAATGTTCCTTCATTTTCAAGTATGTGTTCTATGAACAAGTATTGACCTCCCTAAAATAAAGAATATTTTCTTTACACGGGGAAAAATAAGTAGTGTAAGTCTTAGAACAAGCGCTAGAAATAATTCTAGATTTTATTAAATTTTGTCTTCACCAAAATCAGACTAGAAACTTCAGGCTACAAAATGGTCGTATACAATATTTTTTGTAACTATTTTTCGCAGAGATATAGTCATTTGAAAATGACCCATATTTTCGGCAAATTTTAGTGGTCCCTTAATTTTGACGCCCAGTTAGTTCGAAGTATATTGTGGAATATTTATTCTAGTTTCTCGGCAAGCACACTCTATACAAACATAAGAAAAAAATAAGAAAAAAGTTTAGAGACAATCGAATTTGAAAATTAATTTGAAACGTGTGTGTTCGTCATGGCAGTCAATAGAAATAATAATATTTCTTTTAGAAGATTTTCTCGAAAGCTAAGCTGAAAATGACAAAATTTGGTACTATATTTTTGCTTATATTTTTCACAAGGAATCACGTCGTGCTCAATTTCATATACTATTCTGTCAGATCTTGCGTTTTTAGCATGTGCGTCACTATCCGAATTAACCAACTGATTTTCGTGGCACTTAAGGCGTTTCTTTCCGTTGAAAATCAGTAAATTTGTATACGGAATATCTCGAAAATTATTTGAAAAAGATCCAAAAAAAAATATACATATACACAATTCCATTTAAGAAACAAAACTTGACCTCAATATCTCTTAAAATAATGTTTAAAAAAACTCGCCATAGTTCATCAATTAGGTCTCTGGTGCCATTTAATTTTATGCAAACAGTTTTCTCGTAGGGTTCGTGACCTAGTTACCGACAGATTAGTGGCCCGATGAGCTTGATTTTATGAAGAAATAATAAGAAATTATTGATAGTTGTTTCTTTCGAGCTCTCTATTAGTAAATTTCATTTTTTTGGAATCCTCGATAAGAAACTTATTATGAAATAATGGAGAATTAGTGAAATATCAAACGAACGAAAGAAAGGATATTTTGCACCTATTATGGAGTGTCTTATTAAAAGTCTAATATTTATATACGTACTATATGTATAATTAATAGTAATAATAATAATAAGAAGAAGAATATGTATATATGTTATTGGATTATGAGGCTATGAAATAAACTGGTGAACACTATATTCGTTTAATTATGCAATTTATTCAAAGCACTCGGAAGGCGCGTGTTTATATTCTCGAGGAAACTTCCAGAAATGGCGAACAGCGCGACGCGATCAGAAAACAACATCACGTTTTTCAGGGACGGTCGGTCCCGCTCGTAACGAAACAACGTATCATTAGGAATGAAGTAGAATCTTCTCAAGCATTGAACAAAATATAATAGATCTTTTTGTATATATATACGTATATATATTCATTAATATTATAAAACCAACATACGTTTCTTTCTTTTTATTTTATTCCATAAAAGTATCCTATTTATCTTTACTTTCGTGCATGTGGTATCTCTTAGTCCTCCGCTTAGATTATTTGAAGAATTATGAGCAACTTGTCAGATTCAATATTAAAATACGAAACTTAATAAATAGAAGAATTTGAGTTGAAAATGTTTTAATTCCTCCGAATAGAAGCGGGACTGAACTTCATTAAGAAAACTTATTTCAGATGTTGGTAAATACAGTGTTTGTAATACATAGAAATATGTACCTATAGTATTAACCCTCCATACTACTTAGACTATATCTCTCTCATTAGATTACGTGTGATTGATAAAGATCGTTGCCTGATTTGATGTGATCTGACCGTATCGTGACCGCTAGTGTGAATCCTGAATGTAAGAAGCATCATTCAACTGATACACGCTGATTTTAATAAAACTTCACATAGAGAGAATATAATAAATTTCAATCGTGTAACTGTGAAATACTATGTAGGTATATTTATTTATTATGTGTGTATAAATGACCACTTTGAACACTGTTTTTGAACTAACCGCTGAGTTTGAATTGGGATCTTACTGTAATTATATTAACGCAGTTTAGTAGGGTGGAATATTTTAATTACTTTACCGGTGCTAGTACTCTGTGAATCTCACGGAGTGTTGACTGTATTGACGTTACTGAACACAATGCTCTTGTTGTCACAACTGCATCTACATATCCTGTGGGCACATTTTGTAAAGAACTACCGTCTCCCACTATCAAGCGTTCGATTATAATGTGCGAAAATTGCCAAGAACGGTTTCCTTTAATTAGATATTCAGCTAATTTCACATTTCGATCGACGCCAATCAAATGAGTATTATCCGGATAAAACTGTATGTTTTCACCTATAACGTTTGTAAATAGTCTGTATGAATATATAACATTATGAATAGAAAGTACTAATTCATAGAATAAAGAACAGCTGTTCTTATGTTGAGGACAACGATATACAAGTGGTTTCATGAACCGACGGCACGCGGACGTGTTTCTGTGCTATTGTTCAATATAATTTGTTAATTTTTATTTTATAATATGAAGATCGCATTTAGTAAAGTTAACAAAACCTTAAATAGGATCAAGTTCTAAGATAAAGGTATGAGAAATCAAGGAATATGATGTTACAAATATTAACGGATTGCTATTAATCTGTTTAAAGCTAACGATCATTTTTCAATTAATATCTTATAATTCATATTCTACATCTGCAAAGATAAAAAAAATCTTTAAAGGCATAAAAATGGAGATGAATACTTGTATATAGACGGAATTTACTTATAAAAAATAGATAAAATTGGATACACTTGATCAAAAGTTGATTTTCAGTATAATTCGTTCATTTTTTTAACCTAAAAACAGTAACTTAAGGATAATTAATGAAAAATATGTCAATAAGTTTAATATTTATTTCAAGTATTTTAAAATACTCAGAAGTCATTCCACGCCAAATCGATCCATAACACCACGTTATCAGCAATGTTTGGACCGTTATAGAAAAAATTCTATATTTGTCTTCCTTAATTTTGAGTTTTAATCTTACTTATACCTCAATAAATACTAAATTTATAACCATTCAAAGAGTGTATACATTTGTTTGGGGCACACTGTACATGTATAGTACATTTATTACAAAAATAAAATCAATATTATAGTTATTAAAATACAGTTATTAATGTTTCCTAAGTCATACCACCACAAGGTTTCTTAACTCGTATCGGTACGATTATGTGTCATATAATTTTGAACTATTGGATAACATAATAATAATAATTTTAAAAAGTCCTATTTTTATTACATGGCAAATTATTTGTTATTGATAAAATATAATTCAATATTCGATGTAATTTAATATCAATATAAATACGTTATTCCGTAATTATTGGGTATGTATTATATATGTTGGATGTATCTTTATTTATTCTTAATATGTATAAATACGTATTGGTAACTGATTCCTTTTCTCATTCATACATTTTCTTTATTATTTCGATTTGAAAATTTACTACTTTTAAAGGAGGTACGATTTAGGAAATCGATTCTTTAAATCGTACCTTTTACACGATGTTATAAAAAGATTTGTAACAGATTAATTTGCTCTTGAGACAAGGTTATACATCTACTAGTAAGCGTTTTAAATATCAAACTACAATGTCCAGTATTAACTTGCGTACAAATCAGTGCGAAGTAAGAAATATAACGTAAAATATCTTAAGTCGTGTACTCATTTGAGCATTCGGCCCGAATAAGCACCGAACAAGCGTCGAAGAAGCGAACGTTTGTTGATATGGACTTTCTTCAAAATAAATAGTTAAAACATATTTTTTTAACTGAAACAATTTTATTAGGTTCTCTTATGTCTCCATTGGAAGCACCCACGAAGCTTATTTTGATCAATTTTTTAGTTCAACAGTTATAATTTATTGAAAAAAGGTTGAAACTGTATTTCAAACAGCTGTAAAATCAACAAATATTAAAATTTTCAGAAATCCTTCGAGATACGTTTGTATATCACTAAAGAGTATAACATATTCAAGTTTTAAGAAAATTCGAAATATGTATTACTCGAAAAAGTGTCCGACTTCGCGTGGAATGATCCCTAGGGAAATATCTGTACAGAGGTAATCTGTAATTGAAATAGAACTCGTTCACTAACACTAAGTAGTATGTATATATTTAATGTTAAACTACGTGATCACTCTGAAAGACCTTACAAAAAACGTACGGGATAACATATCGGGTTTCTAACAGTGGGGATGCAGAAACTTGTCGCGACCGCCAATACTTGCAGCATCTAACGTCTGTTTATTGTCAGCAACCGAAATGAACTTTGTCCCATCACCTCCAAAAATACATATGACCCTCATTTTTTCACATATTGAAATTACAAACAGCGATAGCATGGCAAAAGAAAGATATCGCTTCATTGTCGTTAGAAATTTGATATTGGTCTATGCAGAATTAACTTTTTTAAATGATACCGTACTAGAATAACTGAATCCATTAGTCGTTTTGGGGTTTACCATTCACATCTACAACACACATTCAACCTTACGTCCAATAGCGGGCTTACGTTGACGTACCGCCAACGAACGAAACGGGCATCAGCATACGTTCGCTTCTTCATTTCGGTGCTCATTCGGGGCCGCATGCTCAGATGAGTACGCGCCTTGAAGTGGTACGATATGGACACTTCTCCTTTATCATTGACAATTTCGGAGACGTTAAGGCAGGTCCAAATATGTGCAAGGAGGTGGTACTGGGGGTACCACCTCCTTTCGCGGTCGGCCCACGGGAAGACAGCGTAGAGAGGTGACCCCTCGGCGCTGTAGGTAGGAGGTGGAGGGACGGCATCACAGCCGTCCCGGAGCGGGGGCCCTTTTAGCGCGGTGAAATCCCGCATTGGCCGCCTCCGCCCCCAGCGGAGGCGGTGCACCTTTTCAGGGTTTTTTCCCCGTAAAAAAAAAAAAGATCCAAATATGTGCAACAGCAAGCACGAACACGCGCAACACGGCGCGCGGCCAAAATCCTGTTCACATTTAAGGGGACTTTCCCATTCAAAATTGAAAAAAGACACTTTTTTAATATTTTTTTATAAAAAAAACTATTATATTTAGAAACATAATTCCTTTTGGACGCTATTACATGTAGGATTCTCGAGGAATGGGGTGATTGATTTTAGACGCTTTACTTATTATATTAGTGTAT